GTACAAAAGCACACTGTTTGGCATTCTTTACATACTGTTCATGTACATGTACCTCAGTGCTGATAAAAATGATCAAGGTTTCTTTCGCATGCCAAACATGTTGAGGCAAAGGTCGACACTGGGATGGGAAAAAATGTCTACCACACCATGTTCTCACACACAGTTCTCTCCAACCTTCCCACATTTGCACTTTTCTACTCTTGTCACTAGTCACAGCTGGGTTTGTGTCTGATTGATCACTCAAGTAATCCACTTGTGGCACTGTGTTGGGTTGTTATTACTTTTTTTTTCCTTTTTACTTTAAGTCAGTATGCATTCCATTTATTATTTTCCTTAGATGGCCACAAGAGAAAACTAATTTTTTTCTTTTCCTTTTGTACGGTTCGTATCAGTTACAAGATGGATCTAAGTTAAAGTTCATTGGCCAACTGTCAAAATTCTTTTTTCTAATTGTGTCCTGACCTTCAAAATAAATCACCACCCAGTCTTCCTGAACCAGGTGTCTTCAGATCTCGTCACTTTCCCAAAGTCTCACGTAATTAATTTAGCAAGGCAAATTTCCAGGTCACACATTCATGGGTCTGATGATTTTCTTTGTAATCCCTCTCCCCCCATGAGAGATACACATGTACATGTACATGTATATCCTACATGTACATGTACAGGTATATCCTACATGTACATGTATATCCTACATGTACATGTATATCCTACATGTACATGTATATCCTACATGTACATGTATATCCTACATGTACATGTATATCCTACATGTACATGTACATGTATATCCTACATGTACATGTATATCCTACATGTACATGTATATCCTACATGTATCATAATGAATGCATCATCCAGAAATGAACACCATCATTAACAAGAGAGAGGCTTGAGACTAATCAAGCCTACAAAACATGTCAGAAAAAATTTAACTTTTGAGGCTTCTAAACTGTTTGTGGTAAAATTACAAGTACACGTACATGTACTCTGCCTGCTAGCGGTATGTGCATACATGTACATGTACATTTTTCATTTTGATGAAAAAATAAGAATATTTGTCACTTAATGTAAACATGTAACACAAAATTCAATTTTCAGAAACCTCTGCCACAGGATCCTTAGCTTAGAGATTCTGGAAAGGGATAATGCTGCATAAAACAATCAGGGTATCTTTCGGAAAAATGACACAATTGTACAGAGATTATGCATGTGTACACAGTCGTCCTTGGAGACCGTCCACGGATAAATTTAAACAGTAGTTTGACAACGAACACAATTTAAAATCATCGCAAATATACATGTACTTGGCCAACTGGTCATGAAGTGTGTCAATAATTTTTTGAAGAGTGTGCTTTAGTTGCCCTGGACAGGGTCAAACCCTTGATCTTGTCACCAGCCAGATATCACCGAGGACGATGTCATCACTCAATGGGTGACGCAAAAAAGATCCAACATGCCTCTTCGGTCTTGAGACAATGGTCATGGTACAAGCACTAATGAATTCAGTAATTTCATATGGGGGAGGTGAAACTTCTAGTACACGTACATGTAACAGATTTTGGAAGAGTTGTATTCCTCTTCTTTGAATATTTTAACAGAAACAAAATTTTCCATCAAAGTACACACAGGCTTTCCAACAGAGACTCCAAAGAAATGGCAAAAACAGCAAACCATAGCAGAATACGCTTTCACTGACGGACACAGTATACATGTACTACCAACATGCTGGGATGAGAGGACTGCATGTACCGGTACAGTAGTTTGAAATCTGTATTATGAGCGAGTTGCGTAATGGGTAACTGCTGTTTCTTGAACATGGCAGATTTCATGAGCTTAACAGACATTTTAGTAACAAACATGTACATGTACATACTGTTGGTACAGTATAACAAGTGCAGTGATTTGCCATAAATGTTTCTACGCACGCACAAAAACATTCTTTATTCAGATATGCATGCATTCAAAAATCACGAAGATCAGTGTTGGCAGGCATGCTATTTCTGGTGCTATGAATTTTGTTTGTAGGGCAGAGGCGATGATATGAGAATTCATCATGAGATTCTCTGTGCATTGTAACTTGAAAACTGAGACTGTTGCCAAAGTCCATATCAAGCAGTCCATGAGCAATCTTGTACAGCATGCACATGCTCCAGCACAAAGAGGCCCATCTTAATCCAAGAGAGCTAATGTAGTCTTTTGTTCCTGACTGAATTGGGTTTTTTTCAATGCCTCCACCACAATAACAAAACACATTTAATCCTTGGCCTTCTCACAAAACCAACCTAAAAATAGTCATAATGAAAAGTATGTACATGTCTTTCTCCGATTGTTGAAGCTGTGTAAACTAGCCTTTCCCTTTTCTCCACTATCTGGATGTGAAACTGTCATATATATGTACCAGCACCAGTAACTCTTATAAATAAAAAGGTGTGTGGTATTCTACATGTACCGGTATGCGTATATTGACCCTCCCTTATAAAAATTATGGGGGAAAAAGACGCTCACACAAAATGTTTCCGGAACTCACCAGAAGTTGACAAGGTCTTCCCTGTCAATGGCTGGGTTGGCCGACATCAACAGAAAGGCATGCAGGAAATCCTCCAACCGCAGATGCTTTTCCTGCACAAAATAAACAAACAAAAAAAAGGGTTGGTTGGAAAACTGGTTGAACACAGCAGACTCCAGTCTGGTGGGGCTAAGGTCTGCATTTTACAACATTTGTCACACTGTATCTGAACATGTACACGGTATCTTGAAAAAGTTTGGTTCCACATCCATTTATGAACCAGTATACGCAAATGTCAGGAGTCTGATAACCACCCTCACGGCTGCGTTTTGTAAGTCCGACGCCTCATACATGTCATAGGTCCGACGCCTCAAAAGTCCGAATTTTCAGACTTATGAGGCATCTGAATAATGAGGCGTCAAATTTAAAGGCATTTTTTTTTTCAGCCTCATAGTTCCGACACCTTATAAATCCAACGTCGCACCAAGGTGTCGGACTTAATATAAGGCATCAGTGCGATTGACTGTGAAACATGGAGGAGTGCAGGCCCGCACGACACGTCGCCCGCAAGCGAGATTCAACTTTGTTCCCACTCGTGCCCACGGTACTGACCCTGTTAGGAAAACTAAATCAAGCAGAAAACCTGCACGGTTCCTACAATGGTCCAGTATTTGCTTAATCCAAAATACGACTACGTGTGAGAATGATGTATGATATTTTGCTAAATATAAAAAGCAGTTTTTCAACTGTAATACTTTTGAAATCTTAAAAATGTTTGTATGTGTCATAAATAGTACACCATACTTGCACCGGGAACCAGTCTTGTTCTAGTGCCGTCTTCATACACTCGTAATGAGCGTCAATTCAAACGTCAGACTTTCAAGACTTCAGATTTTTTAAGGCATGGGATCTATGCCATGGGCCCAAAAAATTTGGAACTTTTAAATGCATTTGTCGGACCTATGAGGCGTCGGACTTGTGAGGCGTGAGACCTATGAGGCGCCAGACTTATGGATTTTTTAAATGCTTTTTTTGGACTTATGAGCTAACCCCAGCATGCATTGTACCTGCTCCTAAACTCCATAAGTGTCATTTTACATTGAAATAACTGGAATGTATATCACCAATTGAAATGTTATTTCACCCAGGAGTCAGAGGTGCTTACACCATACACACAAATACACCATTTTTCATGTAAACATTTTGCATACAGATATACTAATATTTAAGAATTTATATCAACTACCGGTACATAAGAAAGTGGACTATCATTCCACAAAGCATCACAGACAACATCGCAGTCTTCCCTTTCATTGCCAATTTTTGGGTAGACATTTACAATACAAAGTAAATAAGAAAACAGACTTGACTCATTTGAATTATAACACAACAAAAGCTTGCTACATGTGAAAACCTTCGATACTTTAATGGCATAGTGTAAGTACTGTACGGTACACATGTACAGTATAATGCACATGTATGTCCAGTCTAGATCTATACATGCGCTTTGTAGACATGTGACGCATGTCTTATACTGAACAGAGTGAAAACTTATAGTACAAATACTGTATACAATCTGAAGTTGAAATGAACAGGTGATATAACATTAGCCAACACTTTCGGTTTCACCTCGCAGTGGTCATTTGTACAGGTGCCGGTACCTTCTGGATATGATTATTGCTCTGTCATGTGATTTGTTGTCAACGCTAACGGCAGCATCATGTGATACACAAACTAAACAGGTCTGCCTTCCCTCATCCAAGATTACTGCCGAAAACCTGGCACAAGTCCAAGAACATCAGGCACATGCAAGTAGGGATGAGTGAGGTAGTAAACATTTACTTTCAAACTAAGCATCTACATGTAAGTGCTTTCATTTACGTGCATAGTACACTGGTACATGTGCATAGTACATGTATACATGATACACACCTGTGAACGTATCAGTATTTAATGTTTTCTCATGGAGTGAGTACTGTTTGACACCCTATTTTATCCTTTTTATAAAAAGCAGTGTCCATTCAGTACTGGACAGTTTACTCAACTTTTAACACAAACAAGCCCACAAGATGGATAAATTATGTCAAGGTCTTCTTTTGACCACAAATGGGAAGACTGTGCGTTATCATTGCCCAATTAGCCTGCATGTTGGTAGCAATGGGACGGACCCGCTTACACGTGTACATGTATCAATTGATGTCACAACATGAACTAACTTGGTCACACTGTTGTTATAAACTAGATTTAATTTACTGATTTTTTAAATCATTCCCAAGAACAGCCCTTCCATTATTTTATTTTCAAGTGTTTTTGACCATAATGTAAACTGTTTTTCTGTTGAGCCATTTTTGTTATCCAAACAGCCTCAAGCCTCCCCTTCCCCTTAAAAGAAATTCATGATACATGTCCAGTACCTGTCTGCAAAAAAGGGAAATAATTCAGTTCATGCCCAAATATATCTGCCGACCACACAACAACATAGGCACTCAAAGCACCAAACTAAATTCCATGCAGGCAATTCTTCTGATCGTGTATTCTCAAGACAGTCAGTCACGTGGTGAAGTGGCCTTCTAAATCCCTGCTTTTGTACATTACATGTACATTGCTCAGTTTACCACATACTCTTACCTTCTGAGCAGCCTCTGTCTCCTCACTGGTGGTGAGGGAGATGAACGCCTCCCATCTACCTCGGAGGTTCCGCCCCATCCGTCCACCACCCTCCATCATCTTTGCAAGTACAGGTAGTTCTTCCACAGAGTTTTATTCACACATCACTTAGAGAGGAATGCTCATATGATCCCACCATAATCATCCAGTGCATCCGGTCTGCGAAGAGGGAATAAAATAAGAACATCACCAAAGAACAAAGTTCAAGTGCACATGTGTAGATGATAAAAGGATTCTACACAATCTTAGTGATTACACAACTGTAACTTATTTATGCACCCTCACAAATAAAAGGACACATGAAATAGGACTTTTGTACCAGTAGGAAAGCTTTCTTGCAATGTTACTATGACTTTCCACCTCCTTTGTCGCAGTAAAAGGGAGAACTCAACAACATATTGGTTTTTAAGGTTAATGGAAATATCAATATTTATGAGCTAATGTGTAATGTCATCCATGGCAGAACAGGAATTGTTCCAAAGCTCTTTCTACAAATACAAGTAATGATGAATGTTTATCACAATTTCTACATTAATTTCTTGTTCCAAGTAAGTTCAACTTTTTATTTGTTTACCACTTTAAGTTATTTGGACAATAGCAATAGCCAATATTTCTTCAAAACTTTGGGGGAGGGGGGAACTGTGACGGACAATTGTTTTTCAAATTACCTTTTCTTATGCCTTTTCGACAAGTAATGCCTTGTGTGACAAAAGAAAACTACTGTAGCGCCCTCTAAAATGTGTGGATGATAGGATTTTCTGAGAATGGAAAAACTATCACCTTCTTGCCACTTTAATGAAAGTAAGTATTGAAATCTTCCTTGAATTGTTGTAACACATGGCACTATGAACAAAAACAATTTGAGTTGAAAGTCAAGCTGTGGAAATGTGTTACTGGTGAAAGTTGCATCGTCATACCGGGGGAGGGGTAGCTTTCCTGTGGTTGCATCATGTACATACATTTATACATGTATTAGTTCAGCATGGAAAATGTGTCTATAGTAGACTGGATACACGCATATTCCTGGACATGTACATGTACAACATAAAGTGAAAATGGACCATGAGTGGCTCAGTAATTGAGTAACACTAGACAAAAATACATATGTATTACTCAGTTGAGCACATCTGGTACATGTAACAAATATAGGTTTGTTCTGAAAGCAAAATTAGCACAAGGTTAGTGGCCATGTCAGTAACTCTGCCTTGAAGTGAACCACATTTTATTATTTTGTCCCCCAGTGAACTTGTTAAAACAGTTTGAACTTAACTTCAAACTCTCTCAAAACCAAATCATGCAAGGTGACTTTCAAATGCTACATAACAGAACATTTTTTATAAAGAAACAATTTATTTCAATTTTTTTTTAATTTGCTGCAGGCAAAGAAAACAAGTTGCAAAAAAGAACCGGCTGACTTCTATCGCATTCACAATCTCAGTAACCCAATGCAGAGACCACTTCAAATTTCCGCAACTACAAATAATCTGCATTTCCCTCAGTGCTTCGGGATAATGTACATGTACATGTAAATGTACATGAACTTTGTGTAGGCAAGGTTAAAGTCTTCAAAAACCAAAAGGTGCGAATGGTTTTTATGCACCAATGCCTATCTGAGGTTTTCAGAGCGGAATCAAACAGATAATGTACCGGGTAAGGCCAGTAACACAAGGTACAAGTACATGTACATGTGTAATCTTTTTGAAGTAACGTCCATTTGTTATAAGAGCAGACAAGGCTGCACCAGCTTGTCTATGGCTACTTACATGTATTTATGAATACGCATGCATCAAAAAACCATACAGGTACAATGTGCATGTTCCACAGTACCATTATTTCTACAATGTGCCAATTAAACTGGGGTGATGGGGTAGGTCAAGGTGATGAGGAAGTAGAAAGATTTACATTTTTTTTTCTTTTGTCTGCCATACCATCCCCTTACATACGATAAACAGCACGAGGGAAGGTGTCAACTTTCCTGCAGGCTGAAGGCATCCAAAAGGTAGAATAATTTGGTACTGGTAAGTTGTTCTCCCTTTCCATTTATCAAATAGCACATTTTATCTTCGGGTCCCAATTCCACATCGAGATGCTCATCAGCGATGATCTCCTGACCCCCAATCTGTTATCTTTTAACCCTAAGCCCCTAGGGTGTATGTAAAATCGTACTGAAATTGGAGGATTTGGGACTGTTAGGGTTAAAGACCAACTCCAACTATGCTAACTTTTCTCATATTAAATACTGTTCAGAAGAGCAAAGTCTAATAACAGCGGCACATATCTCCCTTGCAATACACGTTTTTGTGTTAATCAAACACAGATTTTGGACCAATTTTTCCTTTGAGTCCAGTCTGGTGTTGTAAAAATGGAAGTGTTGTTACGACTCATTAGCATCTACATGTAATGAAGATTGATTTTGTGATGTATTACTGTAGAGAGGAAATACCACAGGATGTGTGTTTAGGCATGCATAGCATACGTAGCCACGGACGACAGCACAAACTTGACGAATGCTCTCATTCTTTGGCAACTCGAAGAATTTCAATCCCGGTTCTTTCGCAGAATTTCTCGTACATCCACCAATGACGCACAATTTCGGCATTATTGTAAATCATGAAGAAAGGAGCACAAAACTCTTGACGGAAGAGAGACAATGCGGCACAGTAGACCCGGCACACAGATCGATCCAAAGTGCCTGGTGCACGCACATGTAACAGTAGCTCCAAGTTCTTGTACATTTGTAGTGGAACCTGTCGTGCCATAGATACCAGTTCCAATATTTTCTCCACTATTACATCATACAACTTGCATTTCCCAACAGCGGCGTCAGCGGTCAGATTGTGAAAATTTTTCAAAAAACTCAAAAGACTGTTTAAAAGTTTTTAAAAGCAAAATTACAAAAAAATACAGATGTAAAACAGACATAATGATTTATTACACACTAAACACAATAATAGTTCATTTTCAAAACTTTTAAAACCATTGGAGTTGGTCTTTAATATCAAACAAACAAACAAATTATAATTTACGAATGATTACAATTTACAATGTACATGTAAGCATACTCAGACGTGCAAACAGGGAACTGACTGCAAATGGCATTTTCTCACAAGACCAAAATGGGAATTTCAAATAAAGCTTTTTCCTTTTGTTTTCCCCTCATGTGTAGCCCACAAGCCACCCAACTAACCAACCAAGGCCCAGTGTACTGTACCTGGTACATTGTACATGTACATTTTCCCATTCCGTTTCTATGTACATGTACTTGTCATACGTGTACTCCTACATTTACATGGGATAGGCATCTGACGTGTTAAAACTCAAAGTCACCCAAATCCTCACATCTTCCCCTATAGCTGTAGAGCTGCCAAGATGGTGAAAAAACAGTGATTTGCGGAGACTTCTCTAGGAATGCATTTGGGATGTCAACTAACACTGATCAAACAGCCACAGAGCCAAGCAAAGGGTCTTCTCATAGACTCTTGCACATGTAAAAATGCATACGTGTACATGTGTACGTAAAGTACACCTACATTCATGTACCGGTACGTGTATACTTGAACAAGATGTCCATGTACATGTGCATGTGCATGTGTGCACTGTTACACATGTATTTAATCACGGGGAAAACTTGTTAAATGTCGACTACCCTTACTAGCAAACATGTGGTTGGTGGATACAAACTGTAGCAGAAAGTGTACGAACTTTCGTAACTTTTGTTGTGCATAATAATGAGGACTAGTGTAGTTTGTACATGTCCTGTGACATCAGGATGGGCGGAGCGTAGCGCTCTGTGTACATGTAGCTAGTAAGCTCTTCGGTTTGCGTGTCATCAAGGCAAGCGTGTAAGTGCGCGGAGCTTGCTCTTTGTTGGATTTTGCTAGTTCAGCGAAGCTCTGTAGACGTGAGATCTTGGTGCTCTTGGTGGTGTGGCGTATGCTGCCTCCGTGTAGTATTACACAGGTTGTATGGTCCAGCCGTTCACTTGCAGGTGCATTATAGTAGATTTGGGCTGGGCCCATGGTGCCGTGGTGTTTAGTGCATGCAGGCCGTTATCGCTACAGTGACACTGGCTATGCAATGCGATGTACATGTTATTAAGGCAGTGCGGCATTGAGATGTGTAGTACTACATGTACTTGGGTCCAGCATTGGTGATTGATCTCATGTTTGGCAACGTTGGATGTGCATTGCTGATAGCATTCATGCGATGCCACATTGTTTTGTGCATTGTATATAGGAGTTGCGTGTGGCATCAGTGCGTTGTTGATTGGCGCAACGCAGTGTGATATTACCTGTGTATTGCTAATAGCCTCTCCTCAAGACCACGCAAAACAATAGAGGTTGTAATAAAGCTTACCCAATACGAATTAGCCCTAATCACTTTATCAATTAATTATCCGTTGAGTGTCTGAATAAATCACATTGTTGTTGAGGTTACCAGCAATCCAATTGCCAGCTGTCCTTGTTGTTATGTATTGTCTTATTGGCAGAAAGCATCACAGTCATCATAATCAGCAGTATAATTCCACCAAAACAGATCTGCTCCCTTAGCTTTTACATGTAGGTCACTTTGAGTGATCTCTGGACCGAGGAGGAACTCGAGTTTAGGCTAGAGTCGAGACCCCAACCGGTTTCAGACTTGATCCTCAAACTTAGGTTAGGCCCGGGGAAACAACCACACCATCACAATATGTACATTTGTACGGTACATGTACCAATACAATATACATGTAATACATGCTGCATCTGCAGGGCAGTGTTGTAGTGGAGACAATTATACATGTACATGTATGTACTGAGTTCATCACCAGACACATGACCGGACACATGACCAGTCACAAGACAAGTAGCAGAGTGAAAAATGCTTTAATTGCAGTGCAGCTGAATACATGCACCCGTACCTTGCAACTTCAAATCCAACTGGAGGTCTTGCGATGGTCTTAAGAGGTCTCAACTATCTCCAGGTGAACACTAAAGCAGAACAGAGGTGGTAACAAGTCAACTTTTGCAAGTCCAAGTCAAGTCACAAGTCAATTATTGCAAGTCTAAGTCAAGTCATTTGGTCGAGTCACAAGTC